TGCACTTCTTTCCTTTGGGTCTGCCTGTTTCTGCTCTCCACACCTCCGTGTTGTCTGCAGCATGATCTTCCCCACATGAGGATTTCATGGCTCCCCGTTAACTAGGTAGCTGACTGTATAATCAGGATTTGGCTGGCCCCTGCTTATTCAGCCTCGTCACCGTGGCACATACTTCAGTGCTTTTAGAAGTTAGTTTTTGTTATTGTGATCACCTGCCAAGCCCCTTGTCCCTTACCTGCAGTGATCCTGAACTATGATCTTTCAGACACCATTGACCTGAAGTGGCCCTCCATGTGCTTTTCTCAGAGCAAACACCTTTCTTCTCACTCTCCAAGCCAAAAGTCTGTATGTGGCTTGTTGGTTCCTATGGAAACCATCAGTGATTCAGAATCATCATCAAGGTGAGCTCTACCTGGAAGGTGCACATTCACCAACTGAAATCTAAGCCCCGTGTCTGGAGTAAATGAACCGTCAATACCCTCCCCGCCGTGGGGCCGACATCTTGGTCAGGGCTAAATATCTGGGAGTCATTGAAGCTAGAAGCATGGACGGGGGGTGAGTGGAATTCTGCTCTGCTCAGCTTTGTCAACAGTACGGTCTGCCTTGACTGATCGCCTTGTAAATAGATTGGAAGGTTCTGAGCTATTAAATCAGTATCGCTTTTTTGATGAAGACACAAATGCAAAGGCAACATTTTATAAAGCACAGCTAATGTCTTTGTTTTACTGAGACCCTTCGATAGTCCTCATCCTCCACAGCCAAGGGTTCAGATGAAGATCTCCTGGCACAGAAAGATTTCTGCCTTCTGTCAGCCCTCTCCTTGTCTTAAACACACACACACACACACACACACACGTGTATATTAATTTATGTACTGATTTTACATCACCATAGAGAAAATTGGGAACTCTTCTGAACTCTACCCCAAACTCACCCAGACTCCTGACCTGTCCTGTTTATGGTGGACGATAATTAAGCCTAGAGGAGTCCCTTACCTCCGCTTAATCCGCTTTTCCTCCATCATTTTTCAACTGACACCCTGGGCTTTGTAGGAAACATTTAGTCCTTCCTTGGACAACTATACTTTTTTAGATTGGTGTCACCTTTCCAGACTGTCCGGTTCTGGCTTAGACTGCCTCTGAATCTTTCACAGCTCTGTAAATTGTAACGATCCAGGGGCAGTGCAACCGAATCTTGTCTGTGGGCATGAACTGAATCCTGTCTGGTGGAGGGAAGGCCCCCACACCCATGGAAAAGCCAATTGTTTGGCTCATTTGCAGGTTTGTCTCCATATTCCCAATCTATCCATGTGTTAATTCTCCTTGGAAACATTATCGCATCTGAGTTAAATAAAATGAACTATAAGAGTTATAATTTTTTTTAGAGTTATGATTTTTTAAAAAAATCTTTTAACCACAGTTAGCAAGAAATTTCTATCAGTCAGTATCGATAAACCTTGTTATCTCTGAGGCTGTCTTTCAGGACAGGAACAGCTCGCCACGATCACCCCTGCAGTGAGCCCATGCCCTCCACCAGCCTCTATTAGTGCCCACTGCCACCCAGACCTGTTTCTGCAGCTGACAGCATTTGTACTGCGTGTGTGTTGACAAGTTTGAAATGGAATCAGGATTTGGAGCACATTGCCGTGAATTGCTATTACAAAAGGGATGGAGAAGGCAATGGTAATAATAAGCTGTAAGCCTTTCGGGGTAAGGTGGCATGGTCAGAAGGCGTCATCTGGCACCTACAGCACGGACCAGTGGGGGCACGGTGGTGCTCTGGGCTAGAGAGCAAAGCTGATTAGCCATGGTCAGAATTCTTAAAAAGCCAGTGTATGACCTGTGCCTTCAGAGACAGAATGGTGGTCTCCGGGGTGAGGCTGCACTGGAACTCGTGTTTATAGACCCCTGTGGACCGAAGATGTGAAAGCGCCAGGGGGGCACGGGGCTGAGTAACAGGGGCAGTCTGTCGTGGGGCAGTATTGGGGAAGGATCGAGTTCTGGAGACCTTCCCTTAGAGAATGCATATAGCTGAAGCTCAGTAATAAGGAGAATCGTGGGTCCTACCATATCCATAATATAAATAGAACTTGCCAGTCATCATTTCTATGGCAACGAACTCCAGTCCATGCGTGTCCTCATATACATAAAGGAGTGTATTCCTAGGATAAATTCCCAAATTAATTTTTAATTATAGGTAACCTAAATCTTGATTAAGCTTTCCCAGAAATTGTTTTACCTAGGATTAGAAAGTCAGCATGCACGTAGTCTCAATTATTTTGAGTAAAGAATAAGATCCTTGTAATTCTTTGCCTCCTTCAATTTCAAGCTGAATAAATAAATAAAAGGAAGTATTTTCATTTGTTGACTTTCGTATTACGTGCTTTACACCGAGGTCAGGGACCATGTCTTAATCCTCTCTGCTTCCCCAGCATCTTACACGTGCCCAGTAGACAGTAAGCACTCAATAAACATGGGAGGGGAATGAAGACTCAAAGCAGTCAGCTACTCAAGTCACATTCTAACCGTTTGAAAGGCTTACGTATGTCCTTTTCTCTTGGGTTAAATATGGGTTTGATTTACTGCTTATTCACATACCAAGATATATCCTTGATCCTGTTTTTTTTTTTTTAAGAAAAACTGTATCCTGAATGCTTTTATGTGTGAACATTGTACAGAGTTTAGAAAAACACAGCAAACACTTACCAGGGGTTACCTCTGGTAGGTGGCAGGGGCCTGAGGACTGCAGCATCTGGATGCTTCGGGCTCCTGGAAACACAAATCTCAACAGACAAGTAGTTTAAAGAAATGAAAAAAATCATACTCTCCCCTGCCCCCGCCCCCACCCCCGACATAGAAAGAACAAAAAAAGGACAATTCCTGGCTTGGTCAATCCAGTGACATAGAAAGGTGATCGAGGATCCAGGCCTTCCTACTTGGCCATTTTCAGCATGGTTTATGGCCTCAGGTGGCTTCAGTATTTCCAGGTATCCTATTGTCAACATGACAGAGTCCAGCCAATAAGAGGTATTTTTGCATATGCATTAGTTTATATTAGTGAGGAAAGACTGCCCTCAGCGGACTTATTTTCAGATCCCATTGGCCATGATCAAGTCCAATGCATGCTTGACCCAGTCCTTTGCAAGGGAAATGAGATCACTGTGATTTGCTTGGACCAATGCTGAGTCTTACCTTGAGCTGGGAAGGGTTCCCCTATCTTGAACACATGGATCTGCAGAGGTTAGTACCCCCCACAGAAACCGTGCCCTGCCACTGAGGAGGAAAGGAAAAGAATGAATTTGAATAACATACAGCAGTATTTAACGTAGGAAAATTCGTTTTACTTTATACCCTTCTGTATCGTTTCAATTATCAACTACTTTTATAGTTAGTTCTTTAAAGGCAGGATTATATCAACCTTAGTAAGATTCTTTCTTGATCTCCAGTTACAGTGCAACGTGGTCCAGTGACTCACTAAGTTGAAGGATCGTGGGTTTTTTCTTGCAGTTTGACTCACCATTTTAGCCAAGGCAGATATCTTGGTGGGCTTCCACCTCTGCGTCTTCATCTGTAAAATTAAATGAGACCCTTCCTACCCCCTATCTCAGAGGAATATTAGAAATTACTAGAAGCATTAAACAAAGTTAACACATGAGTAGAACTGTTGCTTTCATTGTCAGGATCCTGTACCACTTACCCAGTCAGATGAAGGTGCTTAAATGTGATGTCTACGTTGCATAATTCAAAACTGGTGATGAGTGAAGAGAATTCCATGGCCATATTTAAGTATATTGGGTTGATTCTATTAATATTGAAGCACATTTTTTCATCATGAGATTCTTTTCTCAATATGAAAACCTGGTGGAAGAAGAATTCATCCAACTTTGTCAGTGATGTAGATGGAGGAAGGTATCTTTCACGGCCCTCTCGCCTCCAGAGCCAGCCCCTCTCTGTGCTTTGGGGCTGCTTGTTGCCCTGTTTCCTGCCACACTGCCCCACGCAGGTTACACTCCCCTGAGGTGCACCCCTCGAGCTCTCTTCCCACATATCTCCCGTCAGAGTGTCTCTGAGCCCACTTATCTCAAATGTTCAGTTCCATCCTCAGGGAAATAAGCTGATTAAAATACTCAAAATGTGGATGACAGTTCACCCTCTACATCTCCCAGAGGGTATTTGCTCTTAAAAAGAAGTCTTTATTAATCTGTTGTTAGTGAAACGTTTGTTTAGAATAAGCAGGCCTTCCCACTGTCCCTTGGGTCAGCCAGTCAACCACAACTTTATCAGAACAAAAAGGAGAACAATTTAACATCCCTGTTTCTGAAATGTTTCCCAGTGTCTCCGATACTCCTCAGCACCATTTCCACGATGACTCAGTGAAAGCAACCTCTGCATACTTCCCACCCCACCCCCCACCACCTCAGGAGTCCGGGAAGAGCTCTAGGATCCCTGCTTTATATCATTGCGTCTGCCCTTTGCCCATCTACACCGTGGCCCCTGAGGCAGGCACCTTTCCGGGCCTGGGACCGTCTGTGCTGCTGGGAGCCCTGAAGCACCCTGCTGGTCCAGGGCAGGCGGGCTTCCTTCTCCAACACTGTCATTTTCCCTTCCACACTCATCCACACTCATAGCTTGAATAGGATTTAAGGATGCAGATGCTGTTCTCCTCATTCAACTGAACGGTTGATTCCTTTTCACTATTTTGGTTTAGAATTTGTAATAATTCAAAAGCCTAACCTTTTTTGGGGGGGTGGGGGCTATAAATTTGTTTGTACTTTTGCTTGCAAGCTGCTTCAGCAAAGGTCAATTTTATTTGCCTGTGATCTGTCATTATCATTAAATGTTATGATCTCCCCCGAATCTTCAGGACTCAGAATTCACCTGAGAATGCACAACCTTACCTTTGGTCTACTCTTCTGAAAAAGGAAGTGAGCTCTATGGCCGACCTATCCACATAATGGAATGATGGGTGCCTTGCTAACCACCCCTGTCTCTGCCCCACAGCTCTGCCGCCTGGAGCGTGGTCTGTCTGCAGGGCAGTACCGGGGAACCCTGTTTGCCGACCAGCCGGTGATGTTCATCACCCCAGCCAGCAATCCCCCCAGAACCAAGCTGCGGGAACTGGTCCTCCTGTGTGGGGGTCAGATCACGCGAGTCCCACGCCAGGCCGGCATCTGCATCGGACCCTCCCAAGGAAAGAGGAAGGCAACCACCAAGTATCTGTCAGAAACATGGATCTTAGGTAGGAATCTGCACCCAGGGATGGTTGGGGAAGGTGCCTTCTGCTTGTAGTAGCTGCTGGTGTCCCCTTTAGAGCCACTGTTCTGTGGTCCCGGCCACACAAACAGGTTTTTCTGGGGGAAACGTGATGCCCACACTGCCGGCGATGTAGCCTCGGGGCTTTTGGATGGACTCTCAGCATCCACGCGTCTGCCTTAACAGAATCCTGTAATTACGTCAGTCACAAGCCAACCTAGACCCTCCTCCTTTTTGACTGTCAGCCAAAGTCCAGTTCACAAGGACAAAGGAAATCCTATTAGACTCTACATACTTTACCTCACTAGCTAGTGTGAAAGAGCCAGCCTTGCCACAGCCACCCCAGACCTTAAGGCCTGTCCACCCTCCGCTCAGACACTCCCCCCCCCCCCCCCCGGTGCCTGTCTTGTTCCGTGTCCAGGGCTGTGGGCTGGTGCCCAGCCCCAGGACCTGCCACCCGGTGTCCCACCCCTTTCTCGTGTGTGCGCTGCTCCTCACACTCATTTGTTCACGGGCTCAGAAAGGTACGCTTTCGTGCAAAAGGAGCTACAGCTTTTATTTCAAAAAAAAAAAAAAACAAAACAAAACACTGGGACATGGACAAAATGTACAAACTGGCATCCATGGCAGCATAGAGAGCACCAGACGCTTCCCTCGATCCCGAAGGAGAAGAGATGGTAGAAGATATGCTCTGCCTTCCAGGAGGCCGACAGTGGGGTGCCAGGCACGCTTGCCCGCTGTGACCCCAGCCCTGGGAGAGCTGCAGAGGTCTCCAGGAGGAGTGGGCTAAGCAGGACTGCAAGGTGGGACCCCGGGGGGGTGGGCGCAGGGCCGGCAGGCGGCGTCCGAGCAGGGCTAAGGCTGGACTTGGCCAGTGCCCCCGGGGCCCCGCCTTGGGGCTAAACCTTCTTGTACGGGGTTTTTTGAAGGTAGCAGTTTGCCAGGGCTGTCCTCCCAAGTCCCACAGACCAGGGGGCTTCAACAGGGATTTATTCTCTTGTGGCCTGGAGGCTGGAAGTCAGACTTGGTTTCTCCCGAAACCTTTTCTTCTCCCGCTCTTACTGAATTACTTTGGTGGCAGCACCTTTAGCCAAGATCCTTACCTGGCTCCTGGAGACTTGACAAGTGTATTCTGTCCCCTCCTGCTTCCCTGTTCCAGAGTCTTCCTCCTATTTGCCTCCCCTCGTCTCTAAATCCCAAACTTCTGGCTTTTCTCACCCCTTCCTAGGCAATATCCTTTAACAGATAAGTAGATACCATGTCCAAGTTGCATTCATCTATCAAACAGACATTTTATGAATATCTTTTAAATGACTGATGGTCATCCTTTGGTATATTTTAAAAGTATGGCCATCAAGAGTAATTTTTTACTCTCTGGGTGCAAAGTAATTTATCTTCTGCCTTGGAGACGAATTTAAAAAAAAAAAAAAAAAACCCTATGATTTTAGCCACAGTCCAAAAGCCAAGAGGCTGTTTACTCTTTTCTAAATGCCAAGAATATAACCTTCAAAACATCCTATGTTCTGAAACAGAGGTTCTTGTTTTGTTTTTTTAAAAAGTGCATGGATCAAAATGACACCAACTAGAGACCAGAATTTTGCTTTTTAAAAAAATGTCTCATTCAGCTAACGGAACTGTGCACACGATTGATATCAACAGTGCATATCAACAACTAATCTTTACAGCGTCTGCAAATTGTGTACCGTGCACGGGGCCAGTGTCTGGGTCCGCACGATTATTATTTCCAAGTTGGGGAACTCTGTCGCCCCTTCCTGTTGCCCGTGGCTTTTGTGCACAGATCATGCACAGTTCAGCCGCCGGCCCAGTTCCTCCCGTTGTTTTGCCATTCTGCTCTCCTGCCAGTGGGTTTTTAGGAGGCAAATCTCTACCTGCTTGACCCCAGGGCTTGACTTTCACAACGCCCTGTGGAATTCTCTGGGTTTCAGAGCTGGAGCTGCGGGCCCGAGTTTCTTTCCTCTCCCATAATTCATGTCCTGTTTCTGATTTGTCATTGATTACACCATCTGCGTGTGCCCTTGGCAACTTCCGGGTATTGTGTGTTCTGGAATCCTTGGCTCTCGGCGTGGTGAAATCCTCACCCCTAAGGTGAGTCCCCCTGATTCTCTGGCCGCTGCCCCTGTCCGCACCAGGGCGCTTCTGGTGACTTGGTTGTTAGAACATGCCTTTTTCACATGTTTATGAGTTTATATTCTTCTCTTTTTGAATTGAGTGACAATACAATAGCTCCAGCTTTGTGCCAGTAAAGATTTCATCTGTATGTCTCTCCACATACGCATAGACCCACAAAACACAGGGTCCCGAGCATCGCGTGTCCTTTCCCATCAGGGCTCTGCTTGTTCTCCGAGTGGGGGCAGCGGCAAACCACCTCTTCTCTCCGCACCTGAGTTACTTCATCGGTTACTCAGGTAATCACCGCTGCCCTGCTTACTTCCCATGATGGTTGGAGGAGATAGCACAAGAGAGTGCAAGGTATCTCGCACCCACAGTGGGCACAGTCCGTTACCCCTGGGTGACCAGATCCACTGATACAGCAACATTTTCTCTTCTGAGGAGTTTTCTCCTTGCCCTGAGCTTCCACTGTGAGCACATCTAGGCAATATTTTATTCCCAAAACGTTGATCAATTAAAATTTGTAATCAAAGCCCTTGAAAGTTAAAATTACAACCATGTTAAGGCACCAATTTAAAAGAAAGTTATTTTGTGACAAATTATGAAAAGCAATACTCTAAATTTGTTCCAACTAGAAGATCAGCGTGTGAGGTAGGGTCCCTGAGACTTAAGAGTAGTTTGAATCAAGTATTTAAAAGTCTTAAAAAGTGGCTCGTTGTATCCAGTTTCAGATTTGTCATTTGCTTTCCAAAATAAAAGATGCCAAGTTTTTTTTAGTACCTTTATATTTATTCCTGTGTTTTATGGGATCTTTGTTTATGCGGACACAATAAAGTCATGGGGGATGGACAAGCAGATTTTTTTAGCCATTAGGAACCTCTGAGAAGTTTGGGTTTTGTTTGTTCATTTGTTTTTTGGCAGAGGGAAAGATGATCAGCACCAAAAAGAAAGTCTCTTTCCCCAAGACGTCCGACATCCTAGCACTGTATTCCTTCAGATAAGCCTTTTTATCCCTTCACCGTCTGATCCAACATTTATATTAAAAAACAAAACTCTTAAATGATTCTTCCCATATAAGACTTTCTTCTAACCTGCAGCTCTTCCTTCAGGGGACATCGGCCAGGGGTGGCCACGGGGCATTCAGCCAGCTCACCCTCTTGGCCCTGCCTTGTACTGCTGGCATAGAATGGTGTGAATTTATGAAATCCCCAAACAGGGCTCACCACGTGAAACTTAAGCCATGACTTACTCATTTGCTCCGTGGAGAGTCTCCTTCATGCTGGGTCGCCTTATAATGAGGCCATTTGAATGGTCATGATTATGTTCCCAGTTCATTCCCCAGAGTCCATGTTCCCTGAAACAGCAGTACACTTAGGCCAAGATTCTCGATGAATCACTGCACCAGAAGGAGAAATGGGGATTTTTGACAGAGAAAATACTTGTGGGCACTTGAATATGTATGAAAGTAAACAGGAAAACAAAAACCAAATTCCCGGCACCAGGAAACAAAATGTCACCTTTACCTGACATTGGAAGGGAAGCAAGTTCCAGTAATTTTATTTACCCCAACACAGCCCTAGAACAGAATTCCCATTTTGCATATTGAGACAGTAAGACAAGAGAGTCCCAAGTGCCTCGGCTAGCGTCTTGAGGCAGGCGGTGAGGCAGGGGCGGGAGCCCCGAGACCCCAGTGCATTCGTCACTGGTCTGCGAATTTTTGTGCTGTAGCTCTGTCTTTTCACGCTCTCCATCCCCCACATTGGTGTTATCACTTACGGCTGGTTTGGCCTCTCACAGAAGACATATTTCCAGTCTCGGGCGCCCTTTTATTGTCTGGGCTATGTTCAAGTGATAAGACATACATTTTATGCTATTGTGGGAACATAATGTAATATGCTCCACAGCATTGCCAAAGGGGGAGAAAAAATTAGCCTCAGCATGATTTCCTTATAACTTATAAAAAGCATTTGATTTGAATGTTTCCCCATGTCAACGTTTTCAGGCAAAAGATCTCTGATAGCGTGTGGGCCTTTTGCAGGCTAACCTAGATCATTGTTTCCCTGGATGGCTGACCACAGAACTAGGCCTAGAAAAAAGCTCTCAAACGTGGCATTTTGTAAAAGCAAGCCCACTCAGGGGGCCTCAGCCCTTAGGGTGCATGATTTAACAGATGATGTCGGGGTTCCTCAAGATCCTCTTCGTCTACATTTTCACTGCATAGAAGGAACGAGTCACAGGTGGTGAGGCCATGTGCGGAGGAGGAGAAAGGGAAGAACCTGGCGCAGGTCTGCCCCCAGCCCGACCCCTCCTCAGGACACTGCCTGACCCCACCCTCACCCAGGAGCTCAGCAACCAGTCAGAAAGTGACGGCAGACTCTTTAAGACGCAATCGCAGACGATACGATGAATTATTTTTGTTTTGAGTTGCTCTCAAATGGATGACATCTACCAGGATAGAAATGAATGAGAACTAAAACTGACTGTATATCTCATGTGTTTAAGTTTTAAAAATATATATATATGACTTTAAAAAAAAAATATATATATATATAGCTTTTTTTTTTTAATTAACTGCCAACTTCTGAAATTGTGAGCATTAACTTGGATTGATCAGAAAGTGGATTTCCCCTTTATTGTATTCACTGGTCAACTAGTGGTCCTAGATGGTGACCTTTGAACTTTCCTGACCTGTCTCACTCGGCTTCTCTCTGTTACATTTATGCCAGCTGACCTCCAGTCACTGTGTGTGAGCATCGTCGGTGATATAGAAGTTAAAAAGCATCATGAAGACAAGCAAAGTGGAAAATAAAAGACCCTCCTCTGCATCTTACTAGCCAAGGCACAGTTTTTAAGCCT